CATCCGAGCTAGCTCCTTCTCCTGCCCACTCCTGCCTCCTTCACTTGGGAGGTTCCCCTGAGGATAACCCCTCCAATAAATCAGGGCCTGAGAATTCCTACCTTGGGCTCAGCTTCTGGAGCACCTGGCCTAAGACATAGGTAAGGTACAGACCACACCAAAGCCCAGGCCTGGGGCTGTCCTGATCAGGAAAAGAGCCACCGGATCTGGTACTGTGTACTTAGCAACTCGTACCAAACCCACAGACACCCTGTGAGGCAGCTGTCAACCAGCCTCCCAGCTTCAACCAGGACTCTCCTGATTGAAACCAATCACAAATCCAACTGACAACCATCTGAGTTTCAGGCACAGCTGTCTTCAGGGGTTCAAATGATGTTGCCCCTGCTGGCCTGTGTTTGGCTCCCCTCTGCTGCCAGGCAGGCTCTCACCACAGGACAGGTAAGAATGCCACCAGCAGCCTCCCATCTACAATCTCTCCTTGTAGCATTCTCGGCAGAGAAAGGCACCTCTCTTTCCCAGCATTCACGGGCTGTCCCAGGCAGGACCCTGGTGGCCCCAGCATGGGCTATAAGCCTCTTCCAGTGGCCTGGAGAGCGGCATTAGCCCACTGAGATCACATGCAATGGGAAGGCAGTTTTCCAGTGGAAAAAAGGAGGGGTATTGGGCCAAGTGAGAGTCCAAACTGTTTTCACTTTATGAAGAAGGAGGAATGTTCTCAACTACCTACATCTGCATGGGAGGGGACACCTAGGAGTGGGCTGGGGAGATATTGTGTGTGTTGGGTGTGTGGGGGGGGGGGGGAGGAGAAGGATTGGGAGCTGGATGGGGAAGTGAAAGCATCACCTTGGCCTGCTCACCATGATTGCATGGTGGCCCAAACATAGAACTAAATATCTGCTAAATAACTTGCCTTATGTGAGAATATGTTAAACTCTCTTACTCCATGTTTTACTGATAATTGGAGTAAAACATAGGCATGTACCTTTCAAAATGTTGGGAAGCTCAAAGTGAGCAGAACCTAGTTGAAAATTGCCCAACTGTTCCATGGCGGCTGGCTGTCTTCCTTCAGTACTAATCTCCAAGCAGACACACTCAGGCTTACCCAGAGGAGCCTCTAACATCAGATGATGAGCAACGAAAAAGAGGCTTCCTTATTGGGTGCAGGGGGAAATGAAAGGTCCCCGGGGCCCCGTTGCCTGGCTGTTTCCCCCCAGAGTGAACATTTTGGGTGGGTGGCCTGAGGCTCTCTGGGGCATGGACCCAGTCAGCTCTGCAGAGAGAAGCCAAGAGAAGGGACAAGGTGTTTTGGTCTGTGAAAGGCACCGTCTTGCCACTCCTGGGCAGTCAACTTTCTGAAGGTTTTGTTGCTGTTGTGGGCTGAGTGGTGGCCCCAAAGATATCTCCACATCCTAAGCCATGGAACCTGTGAATGTTACCTTATATGTAGGCGTAAGAGTGAATATTACCTTATATGGCAAAAGATGTGATTAAATTAAGGATCCTGCAAGGAGGCGCTTATTCTGGATTATTCAAGGGGACCCTAAATCCTTATATAAGAGAGGCAGAGGGAAATGAGACACAGGCAGAGATGGGAGTGATGTATCCACAAGCCAAGGAATGCCGGCAGCCACCAGACGCTAGAAGCAGCCAGGACTGAATTCTCCTCTAGAGCCTCTGGAGCAGTGGTTCTCAACCTTCTTAATGCTGCGACCCTTTAACACAATCCCTCATGTTGTGGTGACCCCCAACCATAAAATTATTTTCATTGCTACTTCATAACTGTAATTTTGCTACTGTTATGAATCATAATGTAAATATCTGATATGCAGGATGTATTTTCATTGTTACAAATTGAACATAATTAAAGCATAGTGATTAATCACAAAAACAATATGTACTTATATATGTGTTTTCCGATGGTCTTAGGCGACCCCTGTGAAAGGGTCATTCGACCCCCAAAGGGGTCGCGACCCACAGGTTGAGAACCGCTGCTCTGGAGGGACAGTAGCCCTGCCACACCATGATTCCCGACATCTGGCTTCTGGAACCATGAGGATAAATTTCTGTAGTTTAAAACCAGCAAGTTTGGATAATTTGTCATAGCAGCCCCAGGTAAATTAATGGAATTCTGTAAGGTTGTCAGAGTCTGGTTTCTGTCACTTCTGCCTAAAAAGGTCCTGGCTCATACATGGTGTGAAGTCTGGCCAAACATCTCAAGACTGAGTCCAGCTGTGGCCCCCACAACCAGGGAGGGGTCCTGCCAAGCTTGTCTACATCTGGGTGTCGGTCTCTGTGTCCGATGAGGTAGCCTGCTTGCTGTCACTCTCTCACCTGCACTCCAGGAGACTGTGGTCCTGGCCTGATCCCTGTGACTGGGTCTCTGTTAGCTGTTGTCAACATTGAGCCGCTAGCTGCAGGTGGCTGGGGGCAGGGGAGTGAGGCAGGTGCTGGAAGCGTCTCTTGATTTATTGGTGGAAACTTCACGGTTCATGAATGCCCACTGTGGCTTGGAGCCTGCTGTCTAGGGCACAAGGTTGATGTGGAAACTGTTCACTGCCCTTCCCCCACCTTCCCCAACGGAGAGAGGCAGGGCCAGTCTCACAGAACCCGTTCACTGTTACAGGAAGAGTGGATATTAGCAGTGAAACCTCCAGAGAAGCAGGAGGACAGGGCTCTGCAGGGCTTCAGGAGACACCCCCCACCTGGACAGAAACGTGCTAGTGAGTCTGGCACGCATGTGAAGGGAGGCAGAGACATGGCCCCGCCTCGCTGGGCTGCAGGCCTGGGAAGCCCTGAGTTGAAGGATATCTCGGGAAATTGTCCTGCCAGGGACATGTCACTCCACCCAAAGGCGCCTCCAGTCCAAGCCAGAAGATGCAGAGAGGAAAATTAAGATAAGTACACACACAGCAGAACAAAATACACAAACAACCTTACAGACTGAGCCTCAAGGGACTGGGGTTGAGCAAATGAGGAAAGTCCTGGTGTGAGAATGGGCCTGGCCGTGGGGCCGAGCCCCTGCTCCCTGTGCAGCACACTTCATACAGCCGCTGGGATCGTCTGGTCTAGTCTCTTGAGTTGGGGACACAAGACAGAAGAGAATTCTTGCCAGGCATGTTCCACAGCCAGTAATGCTGGGCTGTAGGGTGTCTGTTCAGATGCAACCCGCACAGGTGTGTGGGATTGGGGACTCAGTTGCCAGGAATGATATTGCTGTTGGTGACAGAATTTTCCAAAATGATGACCAGATCTTACTAACATTATGAAGAAAACCAAGTTTGGTCTTCACTTGATTTATACAATAGTTGCATATCTGGAAAACTGACTGTATATTAAACCAGCTCTCAAATACTTTGTGTTTATAATAGGGTTGGATTCTACACAAAAAATAATTAGAAATTGATTTTCACACGTACACAAATATCCAGCAAGATGTCTGAAAATCGAGTGGGATGTGGGTCAGTTCCTTGTTGGATAGGACAGTCCCGCATGCCACAGGATGACCACCTTCTGGCCCACCCACTAAAGCACAGCAATAATCCCATCGCCTCCGCCGATTCCCAAAATGTCCTCTGGAGGGCAACCTTGTGCCAGTTGGAAACCATTGCCCCACAGGACCTGCCTGCCCCAACTCCTACCACTGCTGTTAGAGCCCACTTTGCTTTTACCCACTGGGCATGCTACCACCTCTGGGCCTCCACACCAGCTCCTTCCTTTGTTCAGCCCTCTGCTCAGCTGTCACATCAGAACTGTCCCTCCTCAGCACCACCACGTAAAGTAGCATGCCCCCAGCACTTTCTATTTTTACCTGTCAGAACCATCTGACATTTTACTCATGATCTGTCTCCCCCACTACATTGTAAACGCTGTGAGGGCAGGGATTTTTGTCTGTTTTGTTCACTGTGAGGTCCCTGGTCCCTACATAATGCCTGGCCAGGCAGGACACCCTCATGACCTGCCTGTACAAGGATGAGCATGGCAGACGCACAGCCATCACTGGCCTATGGGGATTTTAAAATCCTGCCAGGCCCTGCCTTGGGGTGGGGGAGGTTTCTGCCCAGGCCCAAATCTGCTCTCTGGGCCACATCTGAGGTGGCCTTGGGTTGTGCCCTCAGACACAGCTTTCACAGCCATCGCCTGCCTGCAGGTGGTTCTGATTAAGCTTCCTCAATAGTCACAGAGTTGGTTGTTTGTTTTCCTTTGTAAAGGTCAGGCTAATGGTTTCTCTGGCAACACAATTCCCTCAAAAAACCTACGCTTTTTATTTTCTGTTTTCCAGCAGGGGTCCCGTGTCCATGACAACATCCCTGGTTGTTTCCTGGACACAGTTCTAAGTTGGCCCAGGCTCCTCCAGCCCCCTTCCCCCAACTCCTAGACCTTGGGCCTCACCCACCCTCCCCGATATGAACCACCGTCCTCCCTTGCGCTGCTTTCTCAGATGTCCTCAACGCTCCCGAGCCTCATCTCATCCTCTGGGCTTTTTCCATTCTGCACCAGGGCAACAAAATGCACTTCTAACCCCATTTTTGAGGGCAGGAGCTGCATAAAGTGGGGCTGGGCATGCAGGAGGCCCACAGACGATACTTTCGATAACTTCATCAAAAACTGAAGACCAATGATGATGCTGGGGCCATGGGGAACGAAACCTATCAGCATACCTGAGATTCAGAAGTTTGAAAAACCTAGAGAGACGTTCAGGAGCCCACGAGGAGACAAAAAGCTGACACCATGGGCAGCTGGCAGGCCCAGCATCAGTGTGGACCGTTCTGCACACCAGTCTCCATGGTCATTTCGAGGGCACACGGGTACTGGGGGACATCAGGAAGTTCCTCCAGTGGCATCGGAGGTGCCCACCTGCTGGTTGTACCCCTTCATCTTCAACTGCCAAGTGCTTCCTCTGAGGCAGCTTGAAATTTGGGAACCATTAAAAATTTTTTTTCCTTAAGGCTCTAATGACCAAATTGTAAAAATAAAAGAAAATTAAAGACAGAACAAAATCCCCCATTTTTACCAGATCTACTTTTATTTCAGAAGGAAGTTTGTAGTATAGTATTTACTTTTGTTTATGTACAAGTTCTTCACATTTGTGTTTAAAATGCAGACCTCCCTTAATTCTCTTGTTCCTGCTTAAATTAGCTGTTATTTTACAATACAAAAAATACCAAAAAATTGCAGTCCTTAAATGTATGTATAGTACCCACAATCCTCAGCAATGAAATAGTTTACAATACTTACTCCATATTTACATGAGTGCAATAAATGCTAAATTATACATATTAACAAACTAAGCTTGAATCTAAACAAACAAAAACGTAAATAACTACAGAACAAAACATTTTCAAAGCCAGAATTAGTTCAATGAAACAGGCTTCACTAGTGTTCAGAATGTTTTGTGCCCAAATTCAGTTACTGGAAGTCACTTCCATTATTGCCTTTAAAAGAGAAGGCGCCAGTTTTCATCTGCTCTCCAGATCGTTTCCCTGCAGGCAAGGGTGTTTATTAGTTTGAACCACTCAGGGACATGTCTCCTGGCGGGCCTAGCTATCTACAAACCATCACCATGACTTCTGAGGCCGAGTTTGGTACACTGGTAAACATTTCGGACTGAGAGCTGGTGCACAGCCGAGGACAGTCCTTCTGCCTTCCTGGGCCTGTTCTCAGGATGGCCAATTCTCACAGAATCCCTAAGGAAAGATCTGGATGATGGGTTTGGGAACTGGATTCTGTTGTAATTCTGGAGCTTCTTTTTCATCGTGGTCACTGCCCTAGCATTAGCTTAGGTTGTTAGTAAGTGCTTAGTGAATATTTGTTGACTGGATGAATGAAACGGAAGGATCGAATGTGTTCATGACAAGGACCACCCCCCCCCCCCCGCCCCCGCCAAGGACGTGAATCATTCCCACCCCTACCCAAATGCAAATGCAGGAGTAAGACTTGCACTGAAGGTAAAATGACTTTTTCTGATGGTGCTCTAGTCTCTTCATTTGCCCCAGATTTTCTGGTGTCTCTAATCTTGCACCTCAGGCCTCACCACAGATATTCCCATGTTTCCCTTTTGCTGCCAGTCCTCGATCCCAAGCTGCTTTTCCTCCGGCATAGCCCAGGGAAGTAGGAGTTGCCTTCTCTCCACACCTCCTCCCACCTTTTGGAGGCGATCCTCAGAGAGAAGCACAGACTTCTGCCTAAGCTGTGTGTATAAGGGAGTAGGAGAGGGCAGGAGGGCAGGGTGTGTGCAGTTCTCCATGGGGAAGCAGGAGCTATGTATCAACTAACCACCCCACTCCCACCTACAGTTTCCAGTACAGTAAACTATGGTCCTTGGAAGTGATCACTAAAAATTTAGACAAAACCACAACAAAATGCAGCCTGGAAAACCCCTTTTCAGAAAATCTGATTCTACATGTATAATCTTTGAACTGAAAGACTTAGAGAAACATTTCTCATGATAAAACTGGCTGTTCTGGCCCCACAGCACCCAGAGGCTGACAGATTGATGCACAATGCTCTTGCTGAGCCAACAATAGTGACAGATTCCCACTGCCTTCGAGTCTCCTCACGTACTGCTGTTTACACGAACTCACTGCCGGCTTCCATGTGTACTGACAGACGACCCGGGTTCTCAGCGTTATCCCATTGGTACCAGATGCATTTGAGCACATCGGCATGATGGGGCGCCCTTTCTGGCTTTGTTATCAGAGCTTCAGGGCCTAACAAGAGGACTTCTCTGAACTTGGATATCCAGTATGTGGCACAAACACACATTGGGTGAAACTCAGATGCCGTAAATTTAATAAAAATACATTTAGATACTTTTCTGTTTTATGTACACTCTGAATGTCTGAACATTCTGGACTACTGTATAGTTATGTACAAGTGCAATATCAAGGTTGTCATGACTACTTTAATTTATGTACAGGCTCTCCTGTGACACGCAGACATCTCTGAAGTTCCAGGTGATGCCCTCTTGGTAACTGGCTCTAAGCGAGTGCCTTCTGTCCTGCCACCCCCTTCCTCTGGCCGAGCCTGGAGAAAGCCGCTTGCTATGGGCTGCACAAGAGAAGCAGTGGGTTCAGCTGCTTCTCCACTGTGGGAGCAGAATTACACTTCATTTGCTCTTTTCTTCCTTTTTAAAACAAAACATTATCTTTTAGGAAAAAATAAATAAAACCAGGTGGCTGTGGGACCAGTGCATGTTCTTTCAAGGCCTGGGACTACTGTGGGGAAGGGACTTCTCTGGACAAGGGCACACGGGGTCCTTAGAACAAACAAGGATGTCCCTTGTGGTAGAATCCTCTGCAGTGCCTCCCTCTTGGCCAATCATAGGTGAAGGGCCATCCATGGCAGGCTCCCCGTGGGTGCGGTGGCCTGGAGTAGGGACATGAGGAGTTCAGAGGTCTTTTCTAGAACCATCTGCTCTTTAACAGTGATGTGAAAATACAGCTTTCTAGAGGCAAGTCTCAAAGTAGAGGTATTTTGTGAACCAGACAGTATTTTATAGTTCAACTTCTTTGAAAACATCTTCCCAGGCCATTCTTCACGGGAGTGGGTTGGTACTGGGGAAGAGATAATACTCCCTCTCTAGGCACTGCATTTAAAGGTGAAATGCCGCAGTTTTTGCTCTTTTGAGTATTTACTTATCCAAACTCACAAACTTGAGCCCTGTTGTCTAGGGGTCCACCCCAGGCTCTGAAGCAGGAGAGGTCTTGGGAGGCTGCTGCATAATGCCAGAGAACAGAGCACCATGGGGACAGCACGATGCCCAGGCAGTGCCCTGGGAGAAAAGCCAGGTCTGTCCCCACCCTGCTTACATTTGGTCACTTTCCATTTGGCGTAGTTTTCCCTTGTCCATTTTTTCCCTGTGCTTTTCATCCTTTTAGTGTTCACTGCCTTCCCCATGGCCACCACCTGGGCCTGGGGAGGAGGAGTGAAGAACACAGCCCCTCCTGGGGGAAAGAGGTCCTTCGCCTGGCGTGCCATCCCAGCCTGCAGCTCGGCGCAGGCTCCAGGAACAGAGTTGCTTTGATCCAGATGCTGTCATGCTCTTTTCTGCTCAGGGGAGACATGTACCACGAGTGAGTCCCTTCTTCTGTGGTGCCCTGGCAGCAGGGGGACACACGGGGATCACGCCTAGTGTCCTTATGTCAACAATAACAACAGGAGCTTTTACAGTTAGGTCATTTCCGCTTTCCTCTCAGTCCTTGCTGCTGCTTTCCTGGCTGCAAAGTACATTTTAGAAAAAAAGCAGATTGCCAATGGGAGCTATTTAAATTCTGTAAGAATGTAATTCTGTAAGAATGTAGGAATGCAATTATGTAAAAACGTAAGCTTACTAACTTTCCAACTGCTAGATCTATTTGTGGGTGTGTGTGTGTGTGTGTGGGAGAGAGAGAGAGAGAGAGAAAGAGAGAGAGAGAGAGAGAGAGAGAGAGAGAGAGAGAGAGAGAGAGAGAGAGAGAGAGATTTCAAATGGATTAAGACCTAAATTAACCAAGTTGCTATAGAAAACTACCTATCACACCAGTTTACATTCTAAGTAACACTGCTGACCTTGACATTTAAAATAGCCCCCTTCTATCTCAGTTTAATATGATTCAAAAGTGACATTAGTTCTCAACTAGAAAAAAAGCTCCCTGGAAGAGAGTTATCTGCCTAAAATGTGCAAGAATAAATAGCACATCTTTTAAAAAAGATAGCAGGTTTCAGATGACAAGTTCATCCATCTAACTAGTTTTGAAAAGACCTTGTTCCAGAACGACTGATGATGCACGTTCACTTGTAAACACAACATCTTTGCTTTTTGCACAGTTGAGACAGTCCCAAGACCAGTTTCCCACAAGTAAACCTGAGTATCATTCCTAGCTCTCTCACTGGCTCCACACTGGCCTCCTCCAGCAACATCTGGATCGTCCCTGGACCTGTAATTAAATCAATTATTCCCTATGCAAAAATAAAAGGTTAGATGCTGGAGCACAGATGGGAGAAACTGTCAAAGAAAGCTTGTGAACATGCAGATGAGTCGATGTTTCCAGTCGGAGGGTTTCCAGTTTTTTGCCCTGCTCCGCTCAGCACAGCGTCTCCTGCCTGCTCCCTCCCTGCAGACTCTAGCACGCCACCTCGCCTCCACTTGCTCACTCACGGAGATTCCCCGGCCCCAGCATCAAATGCAGGTCCCAGGCTGCGCAGGGGGCTGCTGCTTCCGGTTTCTCAGTGCTCCTAACTTCTCTTTGTACAGCACTGGCAGGTGCTGAGAAATGTCCACCAGGGCGCTGGCTACTGCGAGACCTTGGGAGAACCCACAGAGGGAACACATGTTAAGGAGCAGCTTGCTTGTATTTTCAAAAATAAGTTTAAAAATTCTGTTTACATTCCCACAGTACAATAAACAAAGCAATAAAGTATGTAGGGAAGTCTTACTGCACTCTGCCCCTTCCTCCACCCGTCCCCTCGCCAGCTGAGAAACTGTTCTCATTAGTTTGCATATATTCTTTCAGGGTTTAGTTATACAAATACAAATACATATTCTTTACCCCTCCCTTGTTACACAAAAAGGTATAGCCTGCTTTTCAGATCAATCAAGCCAAGTGCTCTGCGTGGTGGTGGGAGCATTTAGTATGATTGCAGACATACTCTAAGCACTAAATTTCTCCTGCTGGTCTCCAAAGGGCGGCCAAGAAAAAGCAGCATCTTTTTAAAAATATGTTTTTAATGATTTCAGAGAGGAAGGGGGAGGGAGAAAGAGATAGAAACATCAATGATGAGAGACAGTCATTGATCGGCTGCCTTCTGCACGCCCCCAACTGGGGATCGAACCCGCAATCTGGGCATGTGTCCCAACTGGGAATCAAACAGTGACCTCCTGGCTCATAGGTTGATGCTCAACCACTGAACCACATCGGCCAGGCAAGCAGCACTCTTTACAATGTAATTCAGATTCATTCCACATGGCCCAGCCAGCACTAGTGATTTTTTAAAAATGTTTTTATTGATTTTAGAGAGAGAGGAAGGGAGAAATAAGATACATCTATGAGAGAGAAACATAGATTGGCTGCCTCCTTCACACACCCTACTGGGGATTGAGCCCACAACCTGGGCATGTACCCTGACTGGGAATCGAACCAGCGACCTCTTGGTGCATGAGACAACACTCAACCAACTGAGCCACACGAGCCAGGCCAGCACTAGTGATTTTTATATCTATACCATGATACGGGTTAGGGCAGACTCTGAAATAAGCAAGGTTCTTTAATCTCCCCGTGCCTCTGTTTCTTCCTTTGTAAATGGGGAATAATAACACAGGGCCTGCATGAGGAGTCAATGAGTGAACTGAAGTATCCTTAGAATGCTGCTTGGCTCATCGCCACCCCCACCTCTGCTTTAGAGACTGGTGGTTCGTCTCCTTTTTGGCTGGTAACCTTTAACTGATCTCATCTGGGAAAAGGCCAGCCCCGGCTCAGCTGGTCAGGAGCCATGCTGGCAGACTTGTTGCTCCACCTCAGAGCCTACAAAATGGGGGGAAAGGAGAGGGGGTGGTTTTTAAGTGCCAGGTTTAGTGCCTGGAATTCAGTGGAGAATCCAGTAACAACTGTTAACCAAAGGCAGAGCCAGGTGCTCTGGGAGTCCGTGGATACCCTCTAAAATGGGGGGTAGAGAATGAATGGGGTCTCAAGCAGTGGGTGGGCCTTCATCAGGAGTTCAGAGGGGTGGTAGGGCACATCAGGAAGAGTTTGGGGCAGAAAAGGCCGCAGTGTTGCAAGTCTGTCATCTCCTCCCCACCCTAGCCAGCACCTTGCCATCAGGGAGAACCGTCCAATGTGGTGGCAGAAGACACAGCCCCAGAGTCTTCAGGTCAACGGGTCATCCTGCCCTCAACATGGGCAAGTTAGGGGCTCAACTCACAGAAACCCCCAGGTGAGGGCAAATCAAGCGGTCCCCATGAAGTGAAGGCAGAAACCCTGGCCTGGCCATGCCCAGCGGCCTCCCTTTGTGAGGACACCCCAGGCGCAGACCATCTGAAAGCTGAGCGGGAGGCTCTGCTGGTTATGCTCGGGGCTGTGGAGCTCAGGGCCTGGGCAAGGATTCTGCTCACACTTTCCTCAGAGGCTTTTTTTTTAGTGGAGGCAACCCTGACCCCAAGAATCATCTCAACCGAAAGTGGTCTCAAACATTCATATTGTCTGAGGCATCCCTCCAAAGTACTCCATGGTTAATCAAGATACTTCAAAACTATACTCCATCTTTCCTTCATGTTCAATAATAAGACAATTTTATCCAAATTATGATCCATGTATTTGATGGAATAGTATAAAAGAGATTGGTAAAAGATTATGTAGTAAGATGTTAAAATGTTTATGAAAGTTATATGAAAAAAAGAGAATGAAAATAAGAATGACACAAACATTTCAACTAAATTGCTGGAAGGAAACAACAGAACAGTGAAAATGCGTGTTGGAGAGGAGAAACTTCCTTTAAATTGTTATAATTGCTGTTTGTGCCTTATATTTAAAACAGAGTGAAAAATGCCCTGGCCAGGTAGTTGGTTAGAGTGTCATCCTGATACGCAAAGGTTGTACGTTTGATCCCTGGTCAGGGCACATACATGAAGCAACCAAAGAATGCATAAAAATGTTTGGAACAAAATGATATTCCTCTCTCTAAAATAAATCAATTAAAAATGTATAAAACACAGTGAAAAAGCAAATGAAATGCAATAGTTCTGGAAATACCAATTTGGAAATCACCAGCTTGGAGGAGCCATGAGAGTAGGTAAGATGACAGAGTAAGAATGGAGGAAGAGGAAGCACGCCTACATTTAGGGGCAGAGGAAGGAGAGACAGGAAAGGAGCAGCAAAGCCGAGGAGGGCAGACACACTGTAGGCAAAGGAAGGTGTGGTAGGAAGCATCAATATCACTGGGAAGCTGGCGCAGTGAGGGGAGTTCTGGACTTTCCCCTGGGAAGGACCTCAGGAAAGACAGTGAAGGAAATCCGGTGACGATTTATCGGTGAGGGAGTTATCTCACCGAATCCTCATAACACCATGAGGCAGGAACTAGTCACATTTATACCCCAGTTCTCTGTAAAAGGGAAGGATTCCTCGCTGACCTTCTGGTCTACTCACCGGACTGCCCGGGAGGAGGGATTCCACCAAGGCCTCGAGGGAGCCTCACAAATGCAGACAGGACAGCAGCTTTGTAGTAAAAACATGGCTCCAGGGCAATGGGTTTGGGAACAGCCTGGTGGAAGAAAAAGAATTAGCTAGAGTGGTGTTTCTCAAGCTTTAGCTCTGCAGCCTTCAAATGTGATTTTGTAAAGATGCCCTCTGTATTAGTTCCTGTTGGTGTGGAACAAATTATAAACTTAGTTGCTTAAAACAACACATCCAGCCCTAACCGGTTTGGCTCAGTGGATAGAGCGTCAGCCTGTGGACTGAAGGGTCCCAGGTTCGATTCTGGTCAAGGGCATGTACCTTGGTTGCGGGCACATCCCCGGTAGGGGGCATGCAGGAGGCAGCTGATCAATGTTTCTAACTATCCCTCTCCCTTCCTCTCTGTAAAAAATCAATAAGATATATTTAAAGCACACACACACAAAAAAACAACACATCTGTTATCTCAGTTTTGTGGGTCAGAAGTTCAGACAAGCTCTGTAGGGTCTTCTGCTTAGGGATAGAAGACTATCCAGTTCTGGAAAATTCTTAGCTTTTATCTGACAAGAGTCTCAGCTCTTATCTTCACAAGGAGGAAGTCAAGTATGGCTGGGCTCTACTCTTATCTCATGTTCTGGGGCAGAACCTGCTTCAAAACTCATTCAGGTGCTGGCAGAGTCCAGTTCCTTGTGGCTGTAGGTCTGAGGGTCTCACTTCCTTGCTAGCTGTCAGCCAGGGGCCACTCTCTTCTCTTGCATTCCTGCTCATATGGCCTGTCCAGCTTCAAACCAGTGATGATCCATCAAGTCCTTACCATGTTCCCTCTGTGCCACCAGCCAGAGAAAACTTTCCCCATAGCTTAAGGTCAATTACCTTGGGACTTTTATTACTTCTGCAAAATCCCTTCATATCAGTCCCTAGCTTGACTAACTAACCACGAGACAGGAATCTTGGAGACTATCTTTAGAACCCTGCCCACTATACTCCCAAATATGTCAGCAATCTCTTCAGTTTGGTTGAAAAAATAATTTCCAGAACCGCCCTGGTTGTGGCACAGGGAAATGACTGGATGGGTGAAGTGGTGAAACCAGTTATGAGCAATTACAATAATCCAGGTACAAGATGACAATGGCCTAGATCAAGGTGGTAGGTCACAGTGGTCAGGGAATATTTTTAAAGATAAAGCCAAAAAGACCTGCTGACAAACTGGCTGTCCAATGAGAATGAGAGCGAGGATGAGTCACGGACGATTCCAGGAGTTTTGGCCTGAGCAAATAGGATGATGGAGGTGATGTATCCTGAGTTCAGGAACATATACCAGAGCAGCAGGTGTGGGAAACACTACATACAGTTCAGTTTTAGACGTGTTAAATTTGAGATACCTGTTAAGACATCCACGTGGGGACACTGAGTAAGCAATCTGATACATGAGTTGGAGGTTCATGGGAGAGATGTGAGGGGAGAGCTCATAGTGTTTAAATCCATGATGAGTAAGATCACTGCTATGGTCTGAATGTTTGCGTACTCCCAAAATTCATGTTAAATTGTAATGCCCAATGTGATGGTATTTTGAGATGGGAACTTTGGGAGATAAATAGTCATGAGGACTGAGTTATCATTAATGGAATGAGTGCCCTTAGAACAGAGACCCCAGAGAGCTCCTCATCCCTTGTACCATGTATAGGTTTCAGCTAGAAGGTGCCATATATGAACCAGAAAGTGGGCTTTCAGAAGACAGTGAACCTTCTAGCACTTTGATCTGCACTTCCAGTCTCCAGAACTGTGAGAAATAAATTTCTGTTATTTATAAGCCACCCAGTCTCTGGCATTTTGTTATAGCAGCCAAACAGACTAAGACAATCACCAAAGGAATAAGTGTAAAAGATGTGAGAAGAGACTCAAAGACTGAGCCTGATGTACATCATTGTTAAAAGGTGTTGGGGAGCTGAAGAGGGTTGAATAAAGAACAGCGAGCAAAAACAGCCATAGGGTGAGTGTGTGGTGTCCTGAAAGGAAAGTTAAGAAAGTGTTCTAAGGATTAAGCAACTGTGTTATATGCTGCCAACATATGATATATGGTTTTGTTCAGTACTTTAGGTTTGTCTATTCTTTTTAATCCCACCAATTATTACTATTTCATCAGGACAATGTTTGCTTAGATTTATGCACATGCTTACCCTTTTATTTACTCGCTATTCCTTATTATTCCATCCTCCTGGGGTAATTTTCCTTCTTTCTAGCATATTCTTTAGACATTTCTTTTGTACAGGTCTGTCTATTGGGGGCAAACTCTGTTTTTTCTTCTAGTCAGAAGATATCTTCAATTTATCCCTGTTCTTGGAACATAACTTCTGGCCATGCTATTCTAGGTTGGCAGTTCTCTTTCAGTACTTTGACTATATTCTTCCACTCTCTTCTGGCTTCAGGTGCCACTAGTGAGAAGTCAGCTGTCACTCTGTCACTCCTTTGTAGGTGATATTTTCTTGTTTTCCCATTTCTTTGTTAATGCAGTAAAATACACATAACATAACATTTACCATCTTAATTATTTTTAGTTGTACAGTTCAGTGATATTAAGTACATTCCTATTGTTGTGCAACCATTATCATCAACCATCTCCAGAACTGTTTTCATCTTGTAAAACTGAAACTCTATAAGCATCAAACAGTAACTCCCCATCCCTCCTCCCATCCCAGCCCCTGACGACCACCATTCTACTTTCTGTCTCTATGAATTTGACTACTTGAGGTACTTCATACAAGTGGACTCATACAGTATTTGTCCTTTGTGACTGGCTTATTTCACTTAGCATAATGTCCTCAAGGTTCACCTATGTTGTAGCATTTGTCAGAATTCCTCTTTTTTAAGGCTGAATAATATTCCATTGCATGTATATACCATGTTCTGTTTATCCATTCATCTGTTAATGGACATTTGGGTTGCTTTTATCTTTTAGCTACTGTGAATAATGGTTCTATGAACATGGGTATACAAATATGTATTTGTCACCCTGCTTTCAATTCTTTTTGGGTATATACCTAGAAGTGGAATTGCTGGATTATATGATCGTTCTATTTTATTTTATAAAAAATCAATACTGTTTTCACAGTGGCTGCATTGTTTTTATATTCCCAACGTGCACAAGGGTTTTAATTTTCTCCACATTGTAGTGATCTATTTTTGCTCTGGCTTATTTTAAGAAGTTCTCTTAAAAAAATGTTCTCTTTGTCTTTGGAGTTCTATAGTTCCAGTATGATAAATCCAATTGTACTATTCTTTCTCTTCTGTCTTCCCTTTGCTTTCTTTCCTTAATCCTGCTTGTGATATGTTTTGCTTCTGAAATCTGTATATTCATGACCTCTATCATTCTGGAAAATTCTGTTATTATCTCTTTGACTATTGCTTTCCTCTATTCATTTGTTTTGGGACTCTGATAATATATATGTTAGATCTTTTCATTCTATCCCCTATATTCTTGTTATCTGTCATATTTTCCATTTCCTTGTCTCCTGTTCTACATTCTATGTAATTTCTTCAGATTCATCTTCCAGTTCAAAAGCTCTGTCCTCATTTGTGTCTGATGTGCTGTTTGACATGTAAACTGAGTTATTTAAAAAATTTCTACTACTATACTTTCCATTTCTAACAGTTACATTTGGTTGTTTTTCAGATCTGCTTGGCCATTCTTGACTCTCATGGCTTCCTCATCGTTATGATTCCATCTTTTATTTCTTTAAACATTTCATACATAGCTGTATGATATCCTTTAGCTATCAATTCAGACATTTGAAGTCCTGTCTAAATCCACCTGCTGACTCTTATTCATGAAATGTGTCTCTCTTGTCTGTGGGAATCATTTTAGGTTCTGGTTTTGGTTCATGACTTGTCCTTTCTTGGAAAAGGAAAAGGAGAATGGTCCCTGAAAATAACACCTACTTCCTGTGAGCTCAGTCATGTTTTAATAGTATATTTTATGCAGGATATTTGGCTGTTTTACTAATGTATCTGAAATATTTCATCATCTTGTTAAAAGAGAAATTTCTTTTACGTTCCTCATCAGTTTTGGGGGAAGGAGTCAGAAATATTTACTTTACACAGTATTCATAGTGAATTATGATTCTGTCCCTTTAAAAACAAATCCCTCCAAATACTTATAAAGAACAATGGTTCAATTTAGCTTTTTTCAAGTTTTAAAATATTATGCCATAGAATATTAGACAAATCATTTATATTTTAAAATCCCTTAAACATGAGACTGCTTAGTGACATGAATCAAAGACTGGAAAACAAAAGCAAAAGAATACAACTTTGGTGTGCTGGCTTATTGTAAAAAAGAGAGAAGAATACAAGAGGCAACACATTGAAGTTCTCTCTCACTCAGGTTCCCCCAACTCAGAAGCATGAATTTTGACAAATTAAGTTATAGGGATTTTGTAATCACATTCTCACCTTTATAGTTCCCCCAATAAGATCAGGAGGCTCTTCATCTGTTTCCAAGGCAACATTTACAGAGGCAAAGGGACGACTGGCCATCTGCTGCATCTCTCGCAGAAGTTGCTGATGAGTAAAACAGCAAGCATTACTGCAATGAGTACTGAGGGGATTTTATTAGAGAATACTGCATAATTAAAATATCCCATCCTCCCTGATTCAAACAAATAAAACCCCACATTTTTAAAATAGTCAGGGAAAGTTGGGCAGAGACCATGTACTAGTTAACACTAGGAATTATTAAATCCTGTTGGATGTGGTAACAGCATTGTCATTATATTATAGAAAAAATCCTTATTGTTTATATATATACACTTTAGTATGGATGTAATGTCACAATACCTGCTGTTAAATACATAAATGATATAGCCCTATTTCATATGTATATATTTATTTATTTATTTATTTATATTTGGTTAATCCTCACCTGAGGACGTTTTCCCATTGATTTTTAGAAAGAGTGGAAGGGAGGGTGAGAGACAGAGAGAGAAACATCAATGTGAGAGAGACACATGGATTGGTTGCCTCCCCCATGCACCGACCAGGGTGGGACTCAAACCTGCAACTCAGGTATGTGCCCTTGACCAGGAATTGAACCTACAACCTTGGTGTATCAGGACAATACTCTACTTGACTGAGCTACCTGGCCAAGGATGATTTAGGACTCTTAAACTTCCCATCATATCCTCTGCTCTGGAACAGTTTATATGTTTTGAAAATAATTTTCATAAGTATCTATGGAGGAATAGAATATTAGTATCTCCATGAACTCATCTTAAAATAGAAATTCCTTGGGTCTAATGACCTTTGTGGAGAGAGTAATATTTTGACAAGTTTTCAATTCCTTCTTCCCTGGTTACTAGTTTATTGTGGCTCTTACTTTTTTCTTACTCCATTTGGATGACTTGTATTTTTTCAGAACATTGTACAATTCATTGGGATTTTAAGATATCCTAGTAACAGAGCTATTAAAGAATCCTCTGAATATGTTACCCACTGATTTTTAAAATAATAAAGAGGATGCAACATTTATCTCTATGATAACATTACCTTTACATGGGTCAGAAAAAGTGTCATGCCCCCAGGAAGAGGCCCATATTCTGGAACCTATCTCAACCCTATTATAGACACTAATGTTCTATGATCAATGCTGAGTGCTTGTGAATTTTGGTTTTAGATACTCCCATTCTCTTCCAAATCTTGCTTATAGATCAATTTTTATATAGAAAAAGGCACAACTACATACAGAAAACAAAGCACATGTAAGGTGAGGTCTCAGTGCATTTTCATAAGCAACAATGCAATAGACCTGATGACCAGAAGGCAGAGTATTAACAAGTGAAAGTTACAATAAACAAAGTTCTTATGTTGTAATTTTTAATGAAGTGTATTTATTTGATTTGTCTACTGTAAATATTTGTTTGACTTCTTACTTTTGTAACGGAGCTCTGGAAATAAATCAAGCTTCATAAAAAAATAAAATTCAAGCAAAAATTTAATTAGATACACATTTATCCTTCCTTGAAATATGAGAAATTCTTAGATCTCCAGGATTGGTAGGATGGGTAAAACTGGCACCTGTTTAAGTCAATACTAGAGTTTCCTTTTAGAAAGCTGAGACCATGTGGGACAGAATTAATGACACTTTATATAGCAGTAACTGGAGTCCTCTGGCCATCCGTGAATATGTCCATCAATTATCACAAAATAGCTAATGCTGACTTGTTTAAGAAAAATGTGTAGAAAGGAACAGCTCTTACAAGGATTCATTAATCTTTATCCACTGAGGCTTACCTCTCTGCGCCTGGAGGCCCAACAACTTTGTTTGATCTTCCAAACCACAGCAGCCACCAGGAGCAAAGAGAGGAAACAACTGTGAGAAAGGAAAGTACCAAATTATTATCCCAGCCCCCAGAATCAGCACCATTGTCTCCATATTCCAGGCCAGACAGGGAAACAATCCCCCAAATACCACCCCAAGCTCCTCTCTGATGAGTAATCACAACCATGTTCCGGTTCATAGGAAAGCAAAGTGTGAGGGGCTTCAATAAGCTGAGCTTCAGACCTTTTAGACTGTACAGTCCCCACCAGGTGCTCGGAGAGACCCTGACCTCCTACTGGACCTTTAATGGAATGGCTTATCCCAAATAAGGAAAATAATTCTAACAAAATTATGACAGACAATAAGTATGCTATTTAATAAAAATTAATAAATGTTCACTGTAAGGTATAAAAATAGGAGAGAAGTTAATTTTTAAAATAACTTCTTATAAGGAGGAAGTAAATATAGAAGAAACAAACTTATGTGTAATAATATATATTCAATTATATTTTTACAAAGTAAATGCATACATTTTTGTAAAGTAAAATGATCATTCTCAAGCTAACAACTTTCTTAAAAGTACTAGGAGAGACTAACTTCCAGTGGTCATGTAACTGCAGGTAATTTGTCCTCCCAATTGTAAACCAGGCACTCAATGGTTTGAAAAGCTACTGTGATAGCAGAGAACTAACTTCTGATGAAAGGATTAAGGAGCTGAACAAATACACCACTAAAGTAATTGCTAAAGTAATTTAAAAACTGGTATTCTTCCAGCTGGTGTGGCTCAGTGCTTGAACATGGACCCAGGATCCAAGAGGTCACCGATTTGATTTCCAGGCAGGGCATATGCTCTGATTGCAGGCTTGATCCCCAGTAGGGGACCTGCAGGAGGCAGCTGATCAATGATGTTTCTATCTCTCTATCCCTCCCCCTTCCCCTCTCTCTAAAAAAATAAAATAAAAAGTAAAATCAATAAAACATATTAAAAACAACAACACCGGTGTTTTCACTCACTAACTTGTAAAAGGGCTTGCTACTGAGTTTTGTTCCAGAGTGTTATACACAGACATGACGGCTCTTGGCCCGTGCCACCAGGTACCCGCTTGCTGAGCTTGGTGTTTGCAGGATGGGGTTGGTTTCGTGAAAAGCAGCCTCAGTGCACCCAAGTACCGACCCCAAGGCAGACCTCTCAGGCTGGCTGGAAAAGGGCACTCTAATATGTTAGGATGATTGAACTTTGGCCTTTTCACAAAAAGAAACTTCAAAGTTCTGACATCTCACCACTTTCCCAAGATGCACAAGCATGGAGACCCCTCCGGGGTAACCTAACAGAAAGTAAGGGGCCCCGGAGTCATCACCCAGGGGAGAGCCTTCAATTCCTTGTCTGCTGGTCCTCTTGACTGTCCTGACACTGCTGGTCCTTCCTCCTCCCTGACAGTCTGTTTTCCTTTTTGTATAAATACTTTACTGGGCCAGGTCCTGCCCTAGGCTCTTGGAATACATTGACAAATAGAACAAAAGCCCACTGTTCCCATGGAGTTTACATTCCAGGATGTGGAGACAAACAGTAAATAACACAGAAAAAAAAAACAACATAAAAGAGCATGTCAGAAGGTAGGAAATGCTACAGAAAGAAATGATGATAGGGTAAGGGGATTCAGAGTGCCAGTGGCATTCTAAAGCAGAATGGTCACATGAGCCTTACTTCTTGAGAAGGTGATATGTGAGCAAAGATTTGGAGGAGGTGTGGGAGATGGAGTCATCAGCATGCATATGGCATTGGAAGTAATCAATCTGGATGAAGTCACCAAGGGATTGCATACAAATATATAAGAATGTCCTAGGGGACATCCGTACATTGAAAATTTGGGGAGAAAAGAAAGAAGCAATAAGAGTCTGAGAAGAGTAACTTCAGTCTTTTTTGGTTTCCCCGCATAATATTGTTTTTATTCTAACATAAACACAGGGAGGCAGCAAATCCACATGGAAGGGATGAAGCAAATGAGAACAGCACCTAAGTTGGTCAAGACACTGTTCATGCAGCTGAGTACAGGGCTGGCGTCTGCAGTGAGGACCCCAGTGTCACTACAGAACCACTGGGAGGGCAGCCCCGTGGACACTCAGAAGGCCCCTTTCCCCCCAAGCCTGAGGCTTCTGTCTTCAATGCCAACCAGTTGAAAACATCAACAACCCGGTGCCTTCCACCTGTTCCAGCTTTCAGAAGTGACACAAACAGCATATCAACATATAGTGATTGTCCCTCAAAGCTGATACATGTATGATTTCTTCTAGGGTAATACCAACAATGAAGAATTGACTAGCTATTTCAATAAAGGTGGCGCTTGCCAATACTCCTCCCTTCTTTTTTCCTACCACTAACTTGGCTACAGATGGGGCTGCGACTCAGTGTTCATCCTACTACAGTCTCTTTTATCAATGTTTTTCTACATTTTTCAATACAAATGTAATTTAAAGAAACGTATCATGAAAAATTTCAAACACAGAAACAGAACAATCTAGTGAATTCCTACATGCCCATTACTTAATCTTGACAATATTAACATGTTGCCAATGTCATTCAAAGATCATTCTTAAAGAAGTGTATTTCTTTCAATACTAGGTCACTGACCCAGGCTAAGTGTCCCTTACTTCCTGTCAGCTCTGTACCTAAGGAGAAGCCCAGAATCCTTCAGCCTTTTTGTTCTGTACCTGCCCCTGTCTATCAGAGGCTTATACTGTCTAACAGAGGCTGAGACTTCTCAAAAATCCTGGTCAACTTGTTCTGGGAAAATATTTTCTTCCTCATGCTCATGAAAAGGACTCTATTCTTAGCTAAAAGCTCACTATTCCTAGTTCTTAAACAAAATCCTGAAAAAACAAAGTCTGGATTCTTTCCCAGAAGGGAGAAGTGATGAAAACACCACCAGTGGTCCCTGATCAATGCTGATGGTGATCACCAGCAGTGACTAATCCTCACTGGGTTAGTACTTGACAGCAGGGTCATCTCATGAGCACACCTGCTAATTTAAGTTACTGAGTTAGCACAGCCTCTGTATCCCCTTAAATGCAGGCCATCAACCAGCACCACTGGCTTTTCTCCCTCAGAGAAGTTAGTGACTATGGTTCCTTATAAATGCACTTTTCCTAAAGGTCTAGTTTACTTTCCACATATATTTGAGCCTAGGTGCAGAGGTGTGTGTGTGTGTGTGTATGTGTGTGTGTGTGTGTGTGTGTGTGTGTGTGTGTGTGTGTGTGTGTAGGGGTGAACAAAAGATAGTGTCCTGCTCTGTTGAAGCTTAGAGTCTAACTGAGGACACAGATCTTAAGAAAGAAAAAAATTATGAGAAGTACCATGATGAAAAATAATATGGTTGTGTGGGAAAGAAGATCAAGGGCAGACAATTTAGTTTGGGGGTTCCAGGATAGAATCTTGGAGGAAATGACACAGTGCACGATTTGAAAGATAAGTACGGCATAATAAACAGCTTTACTTGTAATAACCCAAACTGGAAACAACTCAATGTCCATCAAGGGTAAACAGATAAGCAAATTGTGGTTTATATTTACATATAATATTACTCAGCATTAAAAAGAAGGGAGTTATATTTTTATTTGAAATCTTTAAAAAATACATCTTTACTAGTTTTAGGTAAGAAGCAATTATACAAATCAGAAGGGTATTATAAAAGTCTTTCTGAGTCTGAACGACCTATTTTCTATAACAGGTCTGTTGAGATGTAATTCAGTAGCATCTTTTATAGGCTAACTAGAGGCCTGGTGCATGAAATTCATGCACAGGTAGGGTCCCTAGGCCTGGCCAGCAATCAGGGCCGACCAGGGCCTTCTGGCTGCCGGCTGGGGCCCTTCCTTCATTCCACGCCACCCCCTGGTGGTCAGCGCAAGTCACAGTGAGCGATCGAACTCCCAAGGGGACAATTTGCATATTAGGCCTTTATATAGAGAGACGATGGTGACTCATGAGAGGAAAGGACCTAAATTGCTTCAGGATGGAGGAGGCTGGTTGCCAGAAAAAACAATCATGTGATTTGGGGTTGGAACCTCAGGGGAGGAGAGAGGGGCAGAAGACTGAGTTCAATCACTAAAGACCAGTAATTTCATCAATCATGCCTATGTAACACAAACTTGAAAAAAACAAATGTGGAATGAGGTTTGGGAGCTGGTGGGCCAGTGAAGAGACTGATGTGCTGGGAGGCTGTCATGACCAGATAGGGCATGGAAACTCTGTCTTCTCCTCCCACCCCCATCCCTTGCCTATACATCTCTTCCATTTGGCTGTTCCTGAGTTGTATTCTTTATAATAATACTGTAATTTTAAGCACAGTGCTTTCCTGAATCATTTTAGAAAATTATCAAATCTAAGGGGAGTGTTCATCGGAACCCTCAAATTAGTAGTTGGCCAGGCAGAAGTGGGGGTAGAGTGGGGACCCATTTGTAGTTGATATCTGAAGTGGGGGCAGTCTTGTCAGACCGAGCCTTTCACCCAGGGGGTCTGCGCTAACTCCAGGTAGTGCCAAAACCAAAATGAATTGCAGGACACCTAGTTGGTGTCAGACAATTGGTTGTTGTTGGGAAAAACCAAGCAATGAATAAAAGTACAGGTGAAGGGTAGGGAGAAGTGTGTTCTAGAAAGAAGGAATAACATTTTCATATGCTGGGAGGCAGAAAAGAACCTGGTGCTTTTGAAGAAATATAAGGTGACAATGTAGTGGGAACACAGAGGGCAGCATAAAATAAATAAAAAGAGGCCATTTCACACAGGACCCTGGTGTTTATTTTAAAATATAACATCAATGATGAGAGAATCATTGATCAGCTTCCTCCTGCACGCCCCCTACTGGGAATCAATCCCACAACCCCGAGCATGTGCCCTGACCGGGAATCGAACCATTACCTCCTGGTTCACAGGTTGACACTCAACCACTGAGCACACCAGCCAGACCTGGTGTTTATTTTAGATACAATGGGAAGCCACTGGATATGAGATAAGTAGACCCAAACTCATGATTTTAAAGGTCTCCTCTGGGATTTTTATGGATTGTAGAGGGCCAAAACCAACTGAAATGGTCAGGTGAGCTTGTGATGGTTAGGACTAGGGTAGGAGTGGAGGTGGAGCAGACTGACGTTGTAAATGTTGCAATGTGGTGAGAGACTAACTTTTGTGTTGTGTTTTGTTTTTTTAATCCCCACCTGAGGATATTTTTCCATTGATTTTTAGAGAGAGTGGAAGAGAGAGAGAAAGACAGAAATATCGATGTGAAAGAAACACATCAATTGGTTGCCTCATGCATGAGCCCAGACCAGGGCCCGAGCCAGGGAGGAGCATGCAACCAAGATTATGTGCCCTTAATCGGAATCGAACCTGGGATCCTTCAGGCCAATGCTCTACCCACTGAGCAAACCAACTAAGGTGGGAGTGCCTTTAGGATGTAAAGGGAGAGCAGGGGCTTAGAACTGGCAGTACGATGTTGCAACTAGTGATGGGGAGAAGACTGGAGAAGAAGGATCAGAAAGTTCACTTCTGGGCATGTTATGCTAACTTTGGGGATGGCAGAGTTCAATTAGAGAACACAGAATGGGAAGATGGCCAGGCTCCGGCTCCGGAAGAATATCAACAGTGAGAGGTTGAACAGAACAGGTTGTTCAGGAAGGGAGGCCAAGAAGGAGTGGCCTCAGGGCAGAATGGGATCCCAGAGGGCATGAAGAGTCTCACAAAAGGGTGATCAGTTGGACACCTTTAAATTTGGCAAAAGAGATGTGCTAACTGCCCTCAATAACAACAATTTAGCTGGGATTGGGGATAGAGGACATTGGAAAGGGCTAAAAAGTAAAAAAATGGGCTCCAAGCCCAGAGTCAATAGATATGAGAAGGAAGGGGGCTCCAAGGAAGAGTCCCCATTTCTGCCTGTGCTGAGCAATGGAAGACAGCAGCTAAGGCAGTGAGCTCTGGTCCTGAGGCTGGAGAAGCCATTCAGAAGACAAACTAACAGTACATCCCACCCAGGAGCACATTCTGCCTCCACACTCACTGGAGGCTGTGACAGACAGAAACAGCATTCACACACAGGCAATGTGGAATCTTCCACACAACCAAAAATCAGACATTGGGAGGAAAACCAACAGTGTGAAAGAGTGGCACCAAACAACACATAAAAGAAAAAAAATCCAAAATCTGAGGAGACAAAGTAAGACTTCAAAATAAAATATTAATCTCACAAATGAATATGAAAGGAAACTGCATTCACAAAATCAAAACAGGTTATAAGAAAAATGTATTAGAAAAGCATGAAAAACATTAAAAATGAATTGGAAATAAAAGAAATGAATGCAACTCTGGATTAAATTAACAAACTGGAAAATATTGCTGAGGAGCTCACCTAGAATGCAGGGCAAAAGGAAAAATCAGGGTTCAGTTAAGAAATATAGAGCAGACACAGAATCCCTTCATTCATCTAACAGAGAATTCCACAATTCAAGCAAATAGAATTAGAGACAGGAAGCAGTGCACCAGGAGCAGCAGGCGGAAGGGTCCTCGGGCAGACATCTCCAAGGGAAACAAACTAAGAGAGTGCCTTGCCTGGTGGTATTTGACCAAACTGAGAGTCTTTTCAGTTCTGTCAGAGTACAGGATAAATTAGAAGTAGCTACATAGAAAACCAAACAATTAAAAAACAAATTCAGAGTGATCCCCCATCCAAGAAATGGGGATGTATACTTAGAGTTCAATTCATCTGTGAACAACACAGAATATATCCTACCTAATAATAGACAAACATGGTAATTAACCGTACCTCTGACACACTTCCCATTGGCTAATCAGGGCGATATGCAAATTAACTGCCAGCCAAGATGGCGGCCGGCAGCCAGGCAGCTGAAGTGAACAGGAGGCTTGCTTGCTCCAGTGATGGAGGAAGCCAAGGTTCCCCGCCCGCCGCTGCAGGCCCCTGAGCTGCACTCTAAGAAACAATGTTGCAATTATAGAAGCTAAACAAACCCCAGAAACCTGCTTTCAGCCAGCCAGGCCTCAGAGCTGGAGCTGCAACAGTGTTTCAATTATAGAAGCCAAACAAACCCAGATACCTGCTTTCAGCAGCTGAGATCTCAGAGCTGGAGCCGAGCCTCAGAGCTAAAGCCGGTTCTCAGTTCCAGTGACAGCCATAGAAGGTAAATAAATCCCAGAATAAAAGAAAAAAAGGAGAGGTTGGGAGCTTCAGTCACCCGCCAGCCTGAAAATGGCCCTTAGCCCCTCACCCAGACTGGCCAGGCACCCCAGTGGGGACCCCCACCCTGAAGGGGGTGTGACCAGCTGCAAACAGCCATCAGCCCCTCATCCAGGCTGGCCAGGCACCCAAGCGGGACCCCCACTCTGATCCGGGACACCCTTCAGGGCAAACCAGCCGGCCCCCACCCGTGCACCAGGCCTCTATCCAATATAGTAAAAGGGTAATATGCAAACTGACCCTAACAGCAGAAGAACTGGGAATGACTGGTCACTATGACACAAACTGACCACCAGGGGGCAGACGCTCAATGCAGGAGCTGCCCTCTGGTGGTCAGTGCGCTCTCACATGGGAGGAGCTCTGCTCAGCCACAAGCCAAGCTGATGGCTGCCAGTACAGCGGTGGTGGTGGGAGCCTCTCCTGCCTCCTCAGCAGCACTAAGGATGTCTGACTGCAGTTTAGGCCTGCTCCCCGCTGGCAAGTGGACATCCCCCGAGGGTTGCCGGGCTGCCAGAGGGATGTCTGATTGCCATCTTAGGCCCAATCCCCCGGGGAGCGGGCCTAAGCCAGCAGGTGGTCATCCCCCGAGGGGTCCCAGACTGCGAGAGGGCACAGGTCGGGCTGAGGGACCCACCTGAGTGCACAAATTTTTGTGCACCTGGCCTCTAGTTTAAGTATATTAAAATCAATTTTTTAAAATGAGAAAATGAATTTTAAAGGTGGGGACATGACTGGGTCAGGCAAAATCCTGCTACATAAAAGTGAATTTTATGTTTGTGCCACAGGGTCAGAATGGTTGGCTGAAAAGGGCCCACTGCCTGCAGTGAGCAGGTACAGAGTGCCCGTTACGACAGTCCAGGGCCTGTGTGGCATGAGCCCGGGGAGCCAGGGCCATGTGGAGAATGCAGCTAGGGCTGGTCTGCAGGAAAGTCACTTCAGAAGTGGCTTTATAGTGGGTGAGACACCTACTCTACAGAGGTCTTGACCAAGAGGGGCATTTACCTGCTTGGTATCTCTCCTGGCTTGTCAGTCAGCTTTCTGTGCACCAGCTTCATGTAGTGGTTCATTGAGAACTGGGGCCCTACCAAGAAGGCTCCATAGAAGTAGGAGAAACCAGCAACTTCCAGCAGGGAAGGGATACCTCGTATGGCATATTTCTGTTGCTCAGAGGACAAGGAACTCTATGCCGAGAAGAGAAGGAATGGTTCAGGATAGCCTTGAATCTACCTGCAAGAGCCG